TATATATATATATATATATATATATATATATATATATATATATATATATATATATATTTACACATTAAAAACACTTAAATAAGTATAATTTACAATAAGATAAATAAATGTACAAACGCATTAGGACGAAGTAGTCAATATATAAAGTATTTACATTTTTTAAGTGCCTCGAGGCTCTTTGGACAAATTCAAGCAAACCGGAAAACTGATGCAGTCATTTTATAAATATCAAAAGATAAGTTCATTAAAAGATACGTCCGAGCTGAAAGTTAACTTAAAATCATAAATAGTATGCATTGAAGAAAGCAAAGCATCATTGAAAGTATAGTTAGATATTAAAGGTGAGATTTGGCGATTAAAGTAAACAACACTTAGAAATATTAAGCTCAAGATATTCTATTGTTCTACTGTATTAAGTTGTGCAATAAATAATTTTGGATTTTTTAGATAAAATGACACGATTGTATTTTTGTGTTATCATTTTATGAAATAATATATATAAAGTATGGCAGAAGATCATAGATCAGAACCATGTATACATTATCTCATAAAATTATAACAAAATAAAATTATAATATATATATATATATAACGAAATAAAAAAATAAGAATAAAAATAACGCCTCTAATTTAACAAATCCAAAATTATTGCACAGGCCAATATATGTGACATTTCTATCATCTTATGTTATTTATTTTTCTAGTAAAATTCTGTGACTTTCTTATCATTATAACGCCGGTAATATATTCGATCTATATAAATATTTTTTAATTTTATTTGATCAATAACTCTCTGTATACAATCATATTTTTTGAGACATACAATATAATTCGGGTCTATTAGGTTCGAGCAACCTTGAACCATCATAACTTTTGAAAATCGATATTTTGGACGCATTTGTTGTTCAGAGATATATGAAAGTCACGGCTATAAGATAGAAACGCAAAAAATCAAAACAAGCAGATTTGTTTTGATCCGTTTTGCAAACAGACTCGCGCAACTTCGAAATTTTTCCGAACTCTTTACAAAAGTTGGTGAGCGATCGAATATTCGTTCGGGTCTCACAGACCCAACATTGTTCGCGACGGGCTGATTCATGACCTTTCAACAAAAATAAGATTTTTCCGTGTTCACAGAGAGAACGATTTGTTGAATCAAATAAACGTTTCTTTGGAATAAATAGACTTGGAATGGTCCAAACAAATTTTTTGGTTGACACAACAAAAATATTTCTTTGGAACTAAGCCGCAAATAAATATTTTCGTTGCGTCAAACAAAATTTTGTTCGATCAATCAAACAATTCGTTTGGACGAAAGAAGACCAAAGAAGTATTCATTTGATTCAACCAAATCGTTCTCTCTGTGTAAGTAAATTTCGTTTTTGAATTTCAGCCGGACAGCCAAGTGTGCGAATAATTCAGAGATCGACGAATATCGTTAAAGCCGCGCGAAACGCCATCCTGTGTGTATTACATTTTCCTCTTTCCTCGACGCGCGGTAGTAGCATTTCCTCTTGAGTTACGTGATCGAAACAACGTTTATTCGCGAGCGCGCGTCGAGAGATAACATCACTCTCGCTTCCACACATCGCGGCGGATTACTGACTGAAACGGGCGGAGCGCCGACGAAAAAAAAAAAAATAATAAAAGCACGTTCGGTACGATAATCATACATTAAACAGCGAGATAAAAGAATACAAGAGATCACGGGGTGTGTCAGACGTAGCCAGATCCTGGCCCATTCATCTGGATGAAACACCGAGCGAACGTTATCTGCCCGCGAGAACAATGCGCCTCCCCGTGCACGTGGATGCACGCGTTGCATAAACAGCATCGAGTTCGGGGCTTTCCTCTTTGAAGTGCGATAAAACGATGCGGAAAGAAGTCGATCAGACGATTCCCTAAGGATATGACGAGTGGTCTTATTTTCAACTAATCGTAATTTTTTCTTTTAAGCTTCTCTCTCTCTCTCTCTCTTTCTCTCTTTTTCTATTTCTTTTTCTCGCTCGAGATGAAAAATATTTCACCAGCGATGCGTCCACGACGTCTAATGGGGAACTCCGCTTCGCGCTCTGTACGGAACGGAATTTTTTCGCGTGTTACGGTTTGCACGCGCATAGAAAACTGTCTAAACTTAGCTCGCGACAGAAACAACAGCGTTTTCCTGTGCACGCGCGACTTTTGTTTGGCGATCGCGGCCGCGGCGAGAGACGGAAATAAGAGCCGGCGAGTTCTCGCGCGCCAATATTAGGAATGGTTAAATATTTTCGTACGGGGCACGACTTGGTTGCTACCTGACTGGCCCGGTGTGTTAATCGCCATATCAGAAACGCCTGTTCGCCGCAGGCAACGTATTGAGTTTGATTTTTGGCTGGGCGTCTTTAGGCTCGAGTTACGTGCCTCGGCCACTTTTCGCCGCGATCCCGAAAACCGGTTCAAGCTATTTGAGAAATCGCGTAAGTGTCTTTTCTAACCGTGCTCTCGTTATCGTTTCAAAATAGTGTTCGAACCCTTCGCGGTTCTGTGTCGAGACCGACGAGACTGGCGTCATATTTCATTCCGCCGATGTGCTGCGAAGCACTTCTCTCTCTGTCTCTCTTTCTGTCGCACATTGATACTATATACGGCGTAAATATTGCACTATGAGCGTGTTATTGCATCAGTTAGATACTGAAATATCGAGATAAACGTGAGAGCTACGCAATATCGCCCGGAAGTGGCCGGATTTCTACGGAGCGGCTGGAAAGAAACGCCGAAAATAGCCGCGAACTGTGAAGGGTCAACCTTTAATCGCTCTCAAAAATTGAACAGGCCGGCGTTTCTGTTTGTTCCGAGAACAAACACTTGACAAGAAAACAAAACAAAAAAAAAAAAGAATTGCTCGCGATACAAGAGAATCGATATTTTCTTGCATCATAATCGGCGATACGCGACTAATCGCACGGCGAGCGACGACCAAGGTCCAGATAAACGAGTGACATATCGCGAGAATGGTAAGACTCATTAAAGAGTAAATCGGCCAAGGTAGATCTTGCGCGTTTTACGCGTGTGCACACACGCGCGCGCGCGCGTGCATGTGCAAGGCGAAACGAATAAAGCCAATAAATTGGCCGGTGTTATGCAGATACGAGTCGACTCAGAAAACTGAGAGAAGAAGACACTTGTGTGCACGGCATGCGTACAAGCATGTGTGATCGACGATATACCACTCTGCGTTTTAAACCTGACTCGCACGGAGAGCGCAACGATGGCGCAGTAATTCATGATACCTGGGCGAGAGCAAGTGATCTGGTGTCATGGTTCTTCATGTGCAGAAATCTACAAGAGGGACAATGACACACGGATCAGCCCCTCACTTTCCTCAATGCGATAAATGTGTTTTTGCGTTTTGGGTACGTTTCGCGTTTTCGCGTATCGCGAGATTAACCAAATCGTATCTGCCTGTTAAAAATACAAATTTGCATAAATTATTATTTGCAAATGTACCACTCAAACGTTAAAAATGTTAATAGTTTATAATAAAGAACATAATAAATACAGAAGTAAAAGATTAATAAGTAAGGGGCGTAATAAGCCATATTGAACGCGAAAAGTCAAATTTTATCTTAATACTTTTTGCTTGAAGACTCAAAATAAAGACTATAAAATTGTAACGTCTAAAAGGAAGAAGACTTTCCGTATCGCTTACAGAAAAATGTGTATATATTCTTTTCACAAGAATATTATAAAACTTGATCAAACAAAAAGTTGGTTTCATTCTACGTTCTCTTAAAGTGAATCAGTGAATAGTCACTGATATCAGTTATGAGTATAGCACTGAGCACTTTCAGTGCTATATTTATAACGGCAAATCAGTGTATATTCATTGTTTTCAGTGATGTTTGACTGATTCATTTTAAGAGAACGTGGTAAGTAAACAAAATTTTTGTCTGAATTTATTATTTATAATGGACCTGTGATAGATTCGCGAATATATAAATTTATAAAATATTTGAAGTAACATTTACTTGAATGCAGTGCGTACTTCTCTATCTGTGTGTCTCAGCAACGCGGAAAGTTATTCTGAATCGCGCGCGCGCGTAAATTCAATCTTATTATTATTTTAAATTCCTATCGTATCAGAGTTGCACCGAGCGTAAATTGCACGATTATACGCGTGTTAATTGCACGAAACGACTGTTCGGCGCATAAAATTCGCTCCAGCGTCTTGGTCGCGACAACGAAATTCACGGGCGATTTTTTCCACGCGAAGCGACGATACGGTACGATTTCTTCGCGATGCGTGCACGACAATGACGATGATACCAGAACCGGCATCGATTTCGACAAATCGCGAGATAGCGGACGGTCAATCGAGTCATTCGCAGATGCTGACTCGTCCGTTGAACGCCACCTTATATCACGCGCGCAATATAGGTCGCGCACGTGCAGCGGCACGCGTTCCCCGTATTTTCCGAGGTTTACCGAATCAAAAAACAGATGAAATCATCTGTGATGCTTCACATCCCTCGCCTACGCGACTGTACGTCGAATTCTCTATGGGGTGTTTCGGACTATTCGCATTTCCGTCTATCTGCGTTTCAACCTGTTTAAACTATTGATGTGTCCCATTGACGAAAATATCAATGATCGTACCTTTCAGTATCTATGTACACCACCGACATTGTTTTCCGCACATTACCCCTTCGTTTCACCACTTTTTTTTCTTTTATAGAAAGAAAAAAAAATAATTGCAACGAGAGATAAACAGTTTAATTACTTAAAGTCGTCAATCCGTATTTATTTGGCTGGATAATCAAGATAAATTGACCAGAATGCGATCGTCACCTTTAAACGTACTCAGGGCGAGTCATACTTATATTCATATTCGTGAGACTAACCTTTGAACGAATTTCGAACGAGAGTCATGCTCATATTCGCACGAGCCGGTGCCTCGACGAGGGTTACGTCCGGCGGCTCCTCCTCCTCCCCCTCCACCTCTTCCTCCAGCTTCGGCTCCTCGACGTTGCAGGCAGGTTCCGTTCACAGGGAGGGGGGTAATCCTCGCCTCACGAGTTCGTCGTCCATTGACGTTCTAAGGCACAACGGTGCATCATGCCTGTCAACTTTTGCGTCCTCTCTGTTTCTTCCTCTGCCTTTCTCTCTCTCTTCTATTCTAACCTCAGTTTTCGCGATTACCTCAGACGCGGACGACGCGCATGCGAACGTCCCGTTTTCACTGTCTCGTCATTCGGTGATCTATCCTCCCTTTGTCGTTGCCACTTCAGCTCCACTGTGATCAATTGCGGTTCGATGTGATCGAAACGTACGGCTCATTTCATCATCGCGACGTGGCTACAACGGCACGACGAGTTGTCACGATAATGACGATGATGATGATGACGACGACGACGGCGGCGACGAGGGCGGGCGTCGCGACGCCAAGTCGAGACGACGTCGGGCGCGACGAGGCACGAGAACGCGGTGCGACCGGCACCGTCGACGGACATTAAAAGCGCGCGCGTCGCGAACCAACCGCGGCGTTGTCTTCTCGCGCGGATAACTTCAGGCCGCTGTAGCGCCGCTCTCTGTCAGCGAAATAACGTCGGACTCCTCCCGCGGTCGCGGACGGGCCGACGTATAAATGGAGCAGATGAAGGCGCGGAGGATACGCAGAGAAGAAAGAAAGGATTGACCGAGGAGAGGGAGACGAGCGCGCGGACGACGGGATGGTGAATTCCAGTCGTCGAAAAGTGCTCGTGGTGGTCCACAATGTGGTCCGCCCGTTCCGCTCCGTTTCCCACACTTCCCCTGTCCGGAGCGGATTCACAGCCGATGCGACGCCGCGACGCGACGCGACGTGACGCGACGCTACGTGATGCGATGCGAGATGTACGGATTATGCGGGACGATTCTACACGGTGGATCTTCTTTAGGAGATTCCAGATAAGACTTTCGCCGCTTCAGCCGGACTCAGGAGATCGAAAAACCTTGTAAGTGTCGATGACACATCATTGGTGATGCGTGCTGTCAATCTAACTTGCTATTCGTGTGTATCTCCCGTCCTGCTTTCGTCGCGTTCGTCGTAGTGGTTATCGTGGTATAGTCGTCGTGGAGGCGGTGTGGACGGTTAAAACGCTGCGATCACGGCCGTTATACGCCGCTCTTTTGTAAATAATCACTGCACTCGCGCGCGTACATCTCGTGAGATCGCACAGACGCGTGGAAACGACGAAAAGAGGGGGAGGAAGGGCGGGAGAAAGCGAGTGAGAGAGAGAGTGCGCGCGTGTGTGTGTGTGAGGCAGGGATAAAAAAGAGAGAGAGAGAAAGGGAGAGGCGAGACGGTGCACCGGTTTTAACCACGAGAATATCTCAAATGAGAACATACGTTTCTTTTTCTTACTCTTCTGGCGCTTCTCCTTCCGCTCCTCCTCCCACTTCTGCTCCTCCACCACCTTCGTTTTCTCGGTCAAGACACCCGCGGAAGGAAGAAAGAAAGGAGAAAGCACTATCACCATAGAATCGTGTCAGGCAACGATGACGGAAAAAAAGGACGCGAGGACGAATAAGAAACAGACAGAAGCGGTAAGTAAGAGAAGAATTGGAAAAAAGCGAAAGAGAGCAAGAGGTGGACGCGACGCGACGCGTCAGGGCATAGCAAAGACGGAGAGACAGACAGTGCGGGTAAGGCAGAAACGTTCAATGCGTTACTAGCAGCTTCGCGCTGAGCAGCGGGCGAGAGAAGCACCGGTAAAACACGGTTCCCTAACTAACACACACGGAGACAGATCGGGGACTGCTTTGGAGTTTACTATAGGATGGGACGGATGGTGATGGCGGCTACGTAGCCCTAGCAGCCACCGCCCCCATACTGTTTCTCTCTTTCTCTCGAGCGTGCGCGACGGTGTCCCTCTCCCGTTTCGCCCTGCCATCACCTAGCGCGGAGTCGATCTCCCGCTCCGACTTCGAAATCGCTCTCCCCCGCTCCGCCGGTATCCGACGATGGACACGCTGGAGCCCCCTCTGCCCCCGCCGCTGTTTTACTCCCCCCACTCCCACGACTACTACCGGCCGATGAAACCTCTCCTCTATGTCCTCCTCTCCACCCACGGCGATGCCACCACCGCCACCGCGCTATTTCTCCCCTCCTCGTTTTCGTGCTCACCCCTCGTCTCTTACGCGCCCTCGCCCGTCCTGGGGCCGCGAGATGTTATCCTCGAGCGATTCGTGCGTGTGCTATGTATCCGTCTGTCCGTGCCGTGCCGTCGCCATATCCCCTACCTGCGTCGCGCGTCTCGCCGCGTCACGTCGGCATGTGCGTCGGCCGCAATCAAGATCCAGGACCGTAGCTTTCGTCAGGGTACGCCCTGCTTCAATTTATACGATGCTAAAGGTAATTGTACTTTCTTCGCTCTTCTGTGACACGGAAATGCTGTAATGATATGTACGCCTTTCAAGTTTTTATGCCGACCTCTCAAGACAGAGGAACATACTTTCCTCTTTTCCGTTTCTTTCGGAATGTAAGTATTTACATAGGACAACCTGTACGATAGTTGATCAAAATTGTATCAAATCGACGATATCCGTTCTTTTTGCTCAGGAAATACGTTCGAAATTGATACTTTGTTATTACTTTATATGTAACCTATTAGAATTGTATACGATTATCGCTCTTTCACAATCGTTCTCAAAACGAGAGCTGTCGGTACCTAGCGAGATGATTGTAGGATCGAAATGACCGGGTCGAAGGAAGGTGGAGCAGATTTATACGTATCTGTGGTAGTGACACGTTCACGGATATATCGACAAAGCGACTCCTTATCGCGACGCGCTGGTTAACCGGAAACCACGGTATCTTTGGCTCACTGGTACGCGGACGTTGTTGCCCCGTTCTTTATCTGACAAGTGGAAGGATGCGCGCCTAGTATGGAGATGCGTGTGGTATGGTCGTTTCCTTTAAAACGGTGATGGCTCTCCGTCTCGAGGGCCAGCCCAGCAGGGAGAAAATGGTGCGTGGTATCTCGAAAGGGAGGGAACTCTGAGCTAACCTGCGAGCTATCACGGGGAATGGAACAGAAGCTGCTTTCTTCGTCATTTGACGCGGCGGTTCTATCACGAACCGAATGTCCCCGATGTTTTTTTTAAACCATATCCGGTACTGATGATATATCATTATACTGATGACTGCATTCCGTTGCCTTTGAAAATTACTAACAAGGTATCATATTTTTTTTCAGGACTCCCTTTTTAAGTTGATAAGAGCAGCTACGCGAGCGTTAGTCGCTCCACTTGCACCGGCGCGGCATTTAGATTAAATTGTTCTTTCTCTTTCTCGCATGCGATTTCGCGATACATTGCAAAATGCAGAATTGATTTTTCCCAAATATGTATACAATGCGCATGGCACGTTTAACGAGGTTAAACGTGAAACGTTAATTAAACGCGGTGAGGACGAGGCAACGAGCGCGATAACGTTCGCGCTCGCGGTTATCTGCATTTAATTCCCTTGACTTTTCACCGCTGCAGAGTACGCGATATGTTTGTGGTATAGACGGGGTTTTCCTACTCAACTCCGTAATGTGTAATGCGTAGACATATCGATTTCCGCGATATATTCCTATTTTTTGAAAATATTTATTTTTCTCTTTAAAAACAGAGCTAGAGTAGAAATGTTATTGACGTTTTCTCTCTTTTTTTAATTAATTTTTTTCATCAGCCAATACAATAAAATAAGAATCTTGCTTATATCTCGGCTCGGAATATTTCGATTGTGGAAACGCACTTCTTCTTATATCGTAATTTTTATGTCGTTTTGTCTGGTCGAGTAATTTTTTCTCGTTTAGATTTCTTCTTTTTGTCGTTTCAAGTCCTCACATTAGCAGGCTTCTGGATATTCGCCGCGGTCATCTTGAGATTTATGATGTCACAAGCGAGAAAATACGCCCCAAAATGTTGGCAAAATATGTAGAAACAAAAATAATCTGAATTTTGGGCGTGTGTTTTCCCATTTCTGACATCATCAGTCAAGAGTTACGCGGCGAGTACCCAGAAGTAGCCTTAACGGTTCGACGTGACGGAAACGAAGATCCTCGATATTGTACGACGAGCGTTTCAAGATAATTTCCGTGCCGTCTCATTTTTATCTCGCGACGTTGAAATATTCTCCTCGATGAAATATTCACAGGTTAAGACGTACACGATTTTTTGCTCGGCGTGTCGAGGCTAGATCGGTATGTGCCTCGAGCTTTCATCACACTCACACTACCGTTCCATATCAGCCGGCCAAGTTGACGTAGTTAATCAATTGGCGGACCGAGCGTTTCTTAGTCACGGGATCTTCCAAATTCAGCGGTCGAAATCAATGTGACGAATCCGTTTCCCTCTTGACGCCTCTCTTCTTTCACGGATCCCTTTCATTCTCTCTCTCTCTTCTGTTTCTCTCGTCTTTCCACGAGCACGCCCGCTCCTCCTCATCGTGTACGCGTCATCACGTTGAAGGCAGAGAGACCGGCGACGTGGTGTAGCAGCACTGTCCGCTACTATTATTAGTGTGCAGCTGCCTGCGAATTACTGAATGAAAACGAAGGACCGCCTCGGAACAATGTTTAAGAGAAAGGAAGAAAGAAGAGAACAGAAAAGAGGAGAGAGAGAGAGAGAGAGAGATAGAGAGAGAGAGAGAGAGAGAGAGAGAGAGATATGCCTCTTGGAACACAAGAGCGAATGCCACCGTTAAACAACAGGCGTTGTCGGGTAATGATCGTAATCAGAGACGAACTGTTGTTGAGTGCGCAGACACATTTTAAATTAATCGGTTTTCACTGCGCAGCTCAACTCTTCCTCGATGGATCCTTTTCTAACGTGTCGATTCAAGATAGATAATTAACTTTTATCATTTATATAAAAGTAAAAACTAATTATACGTTTGTGAGAGACCAAGCGATTCGACTATTCCTAGACATTCCGTACTTTAATGTTCATTCACTGTTCAATTTCTTTTTCAATTTTCCCTCTTTTCATTTTTTTTATTCTGTGTCGTGCTTTACCTCTAACACACATCGTATTATTTCTTAACATTGTATTGCTTTGACATACGTGTTATCGCGCGATTGCGCCGATCACCCGCGTCCGATTTGTAGTTGCGAGGGCATCGCTTCGAGGCGAGATGGTCTGCGGAAGATCAACGCGAAGTGCGTTGCCGCGCCGAGCCGTCATGCTTGTCGGCGACGGTAACGAACGAACGTATAAACGAAAACGTATGACACTTCCTCCTGCGTCATATTTTTTGTGTCGGTATGTTAAACGAGAGGCGTCGAGAGGCGAGTACGATCGCACGATAAGCACCAAACAGCAGTGGGAGCTGTGACGAGAGCGGAGCAGAGAGTAAACCGCTTTCTATTCGGCCAGTACTGGCAATTAGAGCCAATAGTGCCGTACCCCTTCTCATTCCCTCTTCGACCCGTCTCGTCTTTAATCACGCTGCTCTCGAGGTGTTGAATTTCTTGGTACGATGTTAATCTTCCCCTTTCTGTTAACGACGCCCGTCATCGTCGAGGCGTCTTGATGAGTAACGCCGACTGGTCGGCTGGACTTAAACGCGATTTAAGCGCGTTGCGATCGATAATACTGCTAGAGAGAGAAAGAGAGAGAGGCTATCATATAATATAAATTTAGCCGTGCGTTAGTGTGTACCAGATGTGGCTGTGATATATATATATATATATATATATATATATATATATATATATATATATATAGAGAGAGAGAGAGAGAAAATAGCATTAATAAAAAATGTCCCCCCCCGAAAAATAGTTTGTTCGTTTTTTAACTCCAAGGCAGTTGAAAGCTATAATACATTGTACAATTTGAATATTTTAGATTGTTCAATCATCACGGATGCTAAGTTCTTGAGAGAGAACGTGATTGGAAGCTAGAAAGATTGCTTAATACAAAGGAGGACGAAAGGCCTTTTAACCAGCGTTAACATTGACCAACATTTGCACGATAAAGATAAGAAGCTCAATAATAATTAAGATGAAGTAACGAGCCTGCGTATCGATGAGCATTTTGATAGCACGACTACTAGTAATTCACATCGCCATCATCGGTAACTAGTATTAGTGCTACCGATAGCAATAACAGCTATCAACTATCATGTCAGTCCCATGTCTATGGGGATGCGCGCGGATGATACGTTACTGTTTGATCTCCGGCGCGTCGCGGTCCAGACGCGACGCGGAGATCACCGAACACGCTCGAAGCGTACCGAGCTCGGCGGGGAAAAATAGGAGCGGCGCGAAGTGGGAAGGATCTCCCTTCCTCCCCCCGGTACAGTAGCATTCGCTATCGCACGTGGAGGGGAATTCCCCCTGGTCGGTGCCGCGGTGGCCACTCTGTGTCCCTTTTTGTTGCCGCCCATTAGGCGCCACCGCAGCGTGATTCGCAACTGTGTTTCTTTATCTTCGGCCGTAGCCGAGACGAGTTCCTGCGTACTTCTTTTCCTCTCTCTATATCGTTGTTCTCCGTCGTTCCTTCGGCTTCATCTACCTCTCCCTCTTATTGTCTACCTTCGTCTCCGTCCCGCTGCTCGTCGATCCCGTGACTCCTCTCTTTTCTATCTCTTTCTCCCACTTCTGTCTTCTCGTCCCCTCCTCTGTCTTTCTCTCTCTGTCGCGCGCGCTTTTCTTCACAAGATGAGACAATGATCGCGTGAATCAGCGACCATAGGTATGACAACTTTCCCGTGTTTGCACGCGAAGATAAATTGCTCCGCGATGCGCTTCGCTCCGCTTCGCGGTTTAAAGTCCTTGGAAAATACACTTTACTGTGGGTACTTTGTACAGCTGCGCGCACAAAGTATCGCACGCGCTATTCTCCCTGATAACGCGAGCTCCCCTTTGTGCTACCGATCACTCGACTTTGTTTCTTCACCTTGCTTACTATTGCTTCTTCTTTCAGTCTGGACAATGGCCTCGTGCGGCTGATGACGGTCACTGACGACGAAGAGAGATCAATGACTTGTGCAAAGAAATCCGAAGACTTATAACGTCCTTTTTTCGTTCTTGCATTAGAGAATTTTCGGCTGAGAATATAATATCATTCAGGCGGATGTAGGATGATCACGAAGCATTCATCCCCTATTTGTTTTCCAGCATGAAAAAGAACTAAACAGATTAAGATTATCAAAAAGGAATAGATTCCGAATTGGTATGTGTGTGTTCTCTTAAAATACATTAATTTTTCTTTCCTTAGAATTAGTTTGAAAGATTGTAGATCCAACTGCAAGCATTGTTTTGCATTGGATTTGTCTTCTTTGCTTTTTTTCTACTTCAGTATTCGTCCTCGTGTCGGTATGCTCGTTAAGATTACGGGGATTATATGAAAAATATATTCTTGGACCATCCCTCGATAGGCGCAATTCCTCGGAGAGAACCTTTATCGTTCCTACATTTTTTTTACGGCTCGAATTTCAACGTATCTCATGACTTAGCCTTGCCCGCTTCCGGTTACCTAGACACAGTAAATGTGAAGTTTTACGTCTGTCGGAGTGAATGGCTCGTGGAGTTCGTGTGACCTGGCCGACGTCAGGGAACAGAAAGCTCAGGCCAAGGGGCCCTAGGTGGACAAAAACTTACCTCTTAACAACTGCATACCGTCAACATGTGTGCCGCACTTGCGTTCCCTCTTCTAGTTCTCTTTCTCTTCTTCTCTTGTATCATCAACATTGCGTCCTTATTCGTCCTTAGCCGCGCTGACGTTCTTCTGAGCGCTGTTGCGACAGTGTTCTGTATATAGTTTTTTCTCTCTTTTTGTCTCCTTAAGATAGTATTTGTTTCAAGAGATCAGGTAGAATATGTGGTGGATCTTTAAATCAAGTTGGAAATATTAAATATTATTTTTCATGTTGCTGTATTTGAAACAAGGCTATACTTGTAATTCAATAATGAAAAATTTGAGAATGTCAAAAACTGGTGGTTCAACGTCTCGATGAAAATCAATGATAAATACTAAAGATCGTCGTTGTTTATTGCTGTAGCTTTATCGTACAAATAACGTGGAACGTGTTAAGGAACATATAGATCGGTCCACAGGTTTCCTGCGTATTCCGTTATCAGCCAAAGGTTTAGATTACGCGCCACATTACTCATTACAGCGGAATATATGACTATAAAAATAAACGGCAGTCAAAGCCAATATCTCACTCCATGACAACACTCGGAAGACAAACAGAAATCTGAACTCGCGTACGCGTTTTCTCGATCGTAACAAATATTTGCCGCTTGACCCCGACAGGGAGGGAAAGGTGAAGAGGATAGGAGAGTAGAGAAAGAGACAGGAGTATATTATATCTAATGGTTAACTTCGATCGTGTGTGGGCACAACTCACTGGACTTAGTATGATATTTGCTTCCGTGTGATATATATATATATATGTTGTACAGTTCATCACATGAGAGAGTTATCTATACAACTAAAAGCAAAATTATTTGGAAAAAACACGAATATAGGTTTAAGTAAAATTATTGAAGATAACCCGATAGATATACCTTCGTTTATTGAGCTTTGAATATAATTATTGAGCTTAACTTTAAGTTTTGACCTTGAAATTCGTTCAAATTTGAAAATACAGCTATTTTAGCGTAAATATACATTTTCTTTGTAGTTTTTTTCTTCATAATTGATTATCGATTAGATTTTTATTTTAATCTGACAATCAGTCTTTCTCAATATTATAGAACTTGATTATACACTATTATAGAACTTAATAATTAAAGGCAAATATTACCTAATTTTTAACGCTCTCTTTTGATTTGTAGCTTAAAATGAAACATGCTAGAGAAATATTACTTATATGTTTATGTCTTTCTGTCGTTAACAGGAGCAACAGTGAATAAGTCACTTTGTAAACCAATTTTCATCGCGTTGTGAGAGAGCGATTTTAACTTGGTGTGAAATTATGGCAGAGAGGGCGGTACGCCGTTGTATACATGAGTTCCCGATGTTCTCGTTTGCGCGGTCTTTTTTTCCTTTTCGCCATCCTTGCGCGATGACGTTTCCCCCGAAAGAGAGATAAACTCTCGACGACGCGTGATATCACAGTCGCGTGATTTTTTGCTGTCAAAGGTAACGTTTCGAGTATTGCTTCTGCGCTTGCTCAACGTACCTCGAAAATGCTGCTTATCGACGAATGTTGGTCCAGCGCGACTCGGAAATATATATACGCTGGATAATGTTTGAGGCTGGTATGTCTGACTGTAGCCACATACTGATTTACCATATATAAATTGTCAAATATATGTAAAGGCTCTTGTAGGCTTCTCTCTTCTCATGTTACACATAAATTGTATATAATCATGTACTTCATGTACTTTCTTCGTGTTACACATAAACTTCTTTCTTGCATTACATGCTGAACTAAATTAGTTTCTCTCTTCGTATATCATCATTTGTGTTTAATAGTACAGATTAGTAAAATAAATTGCAAATTTGACGAGAGGTCGTTTTACGAACTTTCCATCTCTCTCACTTTTATCTCCCTCTAGAATATATAAACCTAATAGAATATTTTGCATAATTCTTCATATTAAAACTGCATCACGCTTATATTTATGATCGCGACATTTTGTGCAGGAAGGTCCTTGATATTCGACACGGTACACAAGACTGTTTTAAACAATAGCACTGCTAATCAGGGTGCGGAGAAAGGTGAGCTTGAATGGATACGTTTAGCCGTAAGGAATGACCCTCTGCAGGGAACGTCTACCTATAGATTCTGCGTACAGACGGGTAGAGCAATACATGCCATATGGCAAGGGCCTGCGGCAGTATGGTTACCGTTCCTGATCCCTTTAGCGAACTTTTGATAACTTGACGAGGTACGTACGAATCGAAGTACCACGCATTCGTGAAACCTCCCCCATCACTCCCCGCCCGCCTGCTCTCCCCTAGGAAAACGATTCTGCAAAAACGTGCCGGCACGAGATCGCGCACGTGAGTCATCGATATATTCGCTGAACGCTGTGCGACCGTCGTTCCCACGACGGTGTTCTCTCTGTGAAAGAAACACTGGTGTCTGGTACCCTTCCCTGCGAAAAACAAAGATTAACTTTGAGTCATTCGGGTAGAAAGATCTCTGTGTTGTTCCGCTGGTGTCACATGTGAGATAGTTCGGAGTGAAGATTATCAGGCGATAATAATGGTCTTTGAGTCATTATTATGTCGAGATAGTCAAAAGTACGTTATTAGAAGATTAGAATGATTAGAATGATGCGATCTATATTTGGAACTTTTGACAGAGAGACACGGTGAGAACGACGAGATAAACCGACATCCTCCTTTTCCTCTGGCTGTTTCCGATAATTGTTCCATTTTTTACATTTTATGAGAAATTTCCAATTCGTTCGAAGAGGGAAGCCGACGGAGAGAGCGGGAGTGAGAAGCCAGGGTTGGGGCGTTTGTCTCACGAAATTACTGGTTTGACGTGTTGCCGCGGAATTATGCAACGCCGGCGCAGGATGTAATCCGGTTTGAATTAATTGAAAAGAGCCGCACGTGTACGCGAGCCGATAGCCATAAATCTGTCGTTCGGCGCGTACGAATCGTGGACGTAGGGCGTGTTTTATCGCGAGCGACAGGCATCGCGGGATAGGTCCTCCGTTAATACGTGACGAATCGCGGGTACGCGTATCGCGATAAATTTCGATTCCGCCGACGCGACGCTCACGACGATTGTGCTCGCGCGTTGTTTGCGGAATGATTGCGACGAGCTTGCCGTAATAACAAGCGCGTTGTAGACAGCGTTTTTATACAAACTCCGGGATTGTGTCGAGTGATTCAATGATAAAGAAAAAGATTGAACGCGCATATACACACACATACATACGTCTGTCTAGCGCGAAACTTTCTTTTTTCATTCATAAACGATTGTGAAAGCGCGCAAATGTAGACGATTAATTCTGATCTCTCTATCAAAGTTTCAGCGGACTATATCTGAATGTTGGAATGCGAAATATTAAAAACTTCGTCGATACGTACGGCTAAATCCACCGGGTATACCGTTTTAACCGAATCAATTACGTCACCGTCGTTAATTACGCGGTATTGGCGAATTTTCGTTTACCATATTAACGTGATCGGTGTAATTACGTCGAATCGATTCGTCGACGGAGTCTCTTTCTCTCTCTCTCGATGGCGGCGGACACTGCAATGTCTGCGACGCCAGTGTCCTTTCTTCTGGTTTCAATCAACACCGAGGATTTATCGTGGCACGAGGGTACGACTCTCGCTGTGCGACTCATCTGACATGTTCCAGATAACGAGATGCGAACACGCGTGCATATTATAGCACGAGCGCCGAGGCGCGTAGTACGCCGTAGAAGTATGTAAATACGGAGCGTTTAAGCGCGAGTGAATTAAGTCCGTGATTTTTCAGGATTCGATCTAAATCAGTGTCTCGGGGGAAAAAGAGTCGGCGTTCGTCTCTCCCGGTGATCAAAAGCGTAAAAGCGTCTCTGAGCGTGAACGTTGTAAACTCGAGGAATTCCTCGGGCTCGACGGCTCGGTTTATCGTTTTTAGCGATATGCTATTATCGCGAATTTAATATCGCGGATAACCGTTCGCTCACTCGCTTGCAGTGAACGGCCTTTGCCCCGGAAATCCACACAGGTATACGCCGGCGTTGTAAGAGGTGGAATTTAAAGGGATTCAGCGGTTATGCATTCTGGGAAGGTGTGCACTGCGAAATGCAGCCGCGGTGCCGATGGATATTGGATGTGGATGATGGGGTAGCCGCGCCGGGGTACGCGCACGTAGCGGCTGTGGGGTAGCAAAGCTAAGCCAGTAATGCAATAACTTGAATAGAGGGGCACGCAGGCGGAAAGAACATAACCTACCCCTCCGAGCCTCCCTTTCGCCGTCTCTACTTCTCTCTTTCTTTATCGTTTGTCTTTTCCCTTTCTCTCTTTCTCCCTCGTTCTTTTTGGAGCACATGGGTACATACGAATCTGCGCACGTATAACTACTAGCACGGTGCACGAAACGTGGATCGAGGGTGGCTGTGGGGGTCTTCACCCTGACTGAGAAGGTACCCCACGTACAGTCGGTCACGTTAAAAGGCTTTTAGTACTCACTCGTTCGCCGTTATTGAATCCCAAGCCGCGGAGGGCTGAGTAATAACTGAGGAATCGCACCGGTGTGTTGGCTAGGTGCATCACCGCGTCCTTACCATTTTGACTCGCGCGAAGATCGAGGTCGAATCTCTCGCGGACGGGTTGAGATCAGACTCGTGCTGGAAAGATCAAATACAGATCGTTACAAATAAAAAAAGGCCATCTCTTGCGCCAATGTCGTATACAAAGTTGTTTGTCAGTCAATTTCCAGTTACAGATCGCAATAATCGCAATAGTTTATCTCAAAAACGCCACGACAGGATTGAGACGGCACGATAGGGTTGAGACGGTACGATAAACTGCGGGTATTTTACACTCAACACGTGAGACATTTTATCGCTCACTGCATTCGACGTACGTTACATTGCCGGATTACAAAGACTCCCTAATGAAACTCCGAATTAGTGACGCGATTGACTGTACCTGTACCGCAGGAGGGTGATCCCGAGTTAAACTCGACGACTTGGACGTCCGCGCGCGCGCGCCCGCGCGTGCAGGGAAGAGGGGGTGGACTGAGAGCGGAGGGTGGTCGATGCTCTCCCGGTCAAATACAGGGGAAAAAGACAGGGCGAGCGAGTGAATGAATGGCTTCCAATCTGTTCCATCCCTTTGTTGGAGCGGCTCGTGCCGCGTGTGCAAATCTACCCCTGTCTCACCGCGCTACCTACCTCCCCTTTCTGATCCCCTGGTCACCCTTGCGAATCCTATCCTTGCGCACACGCCTCACACCTGAGCACAATGGGCGGCCGATTTCGTTCTCTCTTTGCCCCCTCATCTCTCCCCCTGCCTTCTACTTTCTCACATTTAAACACCGACGTGCCGAGTTCTGTACATGTCCGCACGTATTTCGTCTTCGTTCCTCGATTTTCTCTTCGTTCTCCGCTTTCCACGTTCTTTCATTCGCGCGTGCACGTCATGCGAGTCTCGTTACAAGACTATCGGCATGCCAGAGCTGTGAAGCGGAAGTAGAATGTACATTCTTAGGTTTGTATATAGATGTTGTAATAACCGCGAATCGTCGACAGTTAATCCGGGCGTTATCGATGGATTTCTATCGCTCTTCACAAACTTCGGGAATTTTTTTTCAAGAAAGAGGCGCAATTGTCTACCAAGCGTAAATTAATATTGGTCTATTGGTCAGATTTATTAGACTTAGATGTATTTAATGTGGCTTCGAAATATCTCTTTTTTTTTATCTTCCGTATTATTCCGTCGTCATGGTTCCGTATCTCGAACGGAAAGAGAAATTTGAACGTGCCTCTACGTTTACTTAAAGTAAACGCTTATCTCAATGTGCTTCGTATGATCGTATATTCTCGTAGGAATCGTCGGAGCAACTTCGTATAAGCTCAACCACCATAATCGTGAACTTATCGTCGATCTCAATTTCGGTAGCTCGCTCATCTCATGATTCATAAATTTCGACGTATGTGGGCCCACGTGTACCTGATCAAAGGTTATTTAGTTCCCCTGCGCCTGTGTATTACCTTAACAGCTCGTAGGTGCGCACGAATGATCGTTAACGAACATGCGGGCACCGCGGTGGGAATTCCACTCAATTTAAGTGTAATTGTTTAATTGAGGATCCTCGCCGAGGCGCTCGCCGTATAAATTGGTCGTTTACGATTCTGTTCTCCCGTCGTGCGTTTTCGAAAGTCTCACAGTAACAGCGCAGACACAACGATTGAGATCTCGCATTATCTATCTTACACAATTTCTTATTTTTTTCTTTTTATCGTTATACTGTTAACACGCGTTTTTATAAATGAGTTATACACTATATTGATTAATATTAACTGTAAATTAATATTGATAACAACTATATTGACAATAATATAGAAGATGCTTCCCCTTATGTCAATTAATACTTTCATTGATGAATGAAATGTACGATTGAGTTCTTGGAAAATGTTTTGATTCCAGAGATAATTTATGAATTCTAAGTCCTGTATTAAAAGTTATTACTTAAAATTCTTTTCAATTGAGATATACTCAGGTCTGAATTTTTCACTTGAATCGCAATTGAAAATATAAATGTCATATATATCATACTTCAACTGAAAAATTTGAATCTAACGTTAAATAAAAATCTGAGCATCTTACACGAGATAAGTTTCAGATGAGAACTATCAATACGGGTCTAAAGCCCACATTAATAGTTGCTACTTGAAACTTGTTCCATGGGAGATACTCAGGTTTGAATTTAGAGTTTTTTATTTGAATCATATAATATATATGTGTGATAATACTTTTGTAAGCATGATTCGACTGAAAAACTCACGTTTAACTCTAAATTAAAATCTCAGTATCTCACTCTAGACAAATTTTAAACATCATCTATTAATACGGGGCTAATATTCATAGAATTGGAAGCCAAAGAGATAAGTTAGATATAGATCTTTTCTCTTTCAAAGTGCAAATAACATCATAAATTTATTTCTACCGATCTTGTAAGAAGTAAACTGCCACGGTACCGCTAACGTACATATCCCAGTCACCCTCCGATATTACAACCGCTGTAGTTTTGTAAAACGGTTTTCAGATAGCATCTGCGTCTGGATACGAGCATCCCTGGAAGAGAAATCGCGATAAGACGGAAACGGCACGGCGGAGTGGTCGAGTCTACGCGCAGAGTCCGATCGCGGAGAGAGAAACGACGTAATATATATTTCACGACGAAATCGTTTCCACGATCGCTACTGGAAGGATATAGCGCGGCGGGGTGAAAATCGTGCCACGTGGCCCGCGGGTACTTCAGAAACAGGGGGAAACTCGGACCGTATTACTGGCCCCGGCCCTGGCGAACGTGAGTTACCTTTACTGCGTTTGCTATTCTCCATTGTGCATGACTACGATACGGGACCGTGCAGGGGAGGCTGCGAGAGAGATCGCATGAGTCATACCGAGTCGAGCTTCGCGTACATTGGCGTAGAACGTCCTCTCGATGGGTGTGCTGCTTTCCGAAACGTCATCCTTCCTCGTACGAAAAATCGATTCTAATCGAGAAACAATATTCGCATTAATATGCTACAAGCGAATCGTTTTGAATATAAACAATACTGAAAAATAATTGTGTTCACTTTAAGAGTGAAACGTTTGACATAACTTTTATAATAGAGGCATTTTTATATCATAGAACGTAAGAGAGGCAATGTTCTGATTGAGCAATGCTTATAATTAATCTGATTCTCTTTTACTTTTTTAAGGTGCCATGCAGTAAACATATTCAACTTGGCAAGAGGAACGTATACCGGATATATTCGGACATACGAGGAAGCCGGTTTAAGCGTGCCCGAATAGTCCGAAGATAAAATCGCTCGAATTATCAGTACGAACAGACGCGATGAAGAAAAGTCCATCGCGTCGTGTCGCGTACCTACGTCACTGCGCTCGGTCAATGCATCAATCCGGCCTGCATCTGTATGTATTTACGCTAGACTGGCGGAGGCAGGAGGAAGAGGAGGAGAAGCAGGAGAGCAGCAAGGGGGAAACCCCTATGTGACATCATCCCCCACACACGCTCGCCTGGCCGCTTCGTCTCGCTGGCTGACTTCTGTCGCCTAACTCCAAAACACCCCTGGACCCTGCCACCTCCCTTTACCTTTAATCTTTATCAATCCATCCAGCCGAGGCCGAATCGAAAGCACGAACGTGCACGCACGGGAGACACAACGATGTGCGGACGCCACCGCGCATTATTCACGGCCGATAGCGCCTTCACCCTCGCCACGTCCACCTCTTTCACTGAGTTCCACCCTCCTCACCTCTGTTCTTCCATTCCGCGAGCCCTTCGTAGTTCCCTGAACTTCGCGCCCTAAACATCTCCTTTTCGACTTTTGTTCTTCACGAGAACAGCTTAAATTGCTAATTGAGTCAATACTTTCTCAATTTTTGCCGTCAACATTCTCATCTTCTTGAATAATTGTTAATTGACACAAGAACAAGTGATCGACAATATTGATATCGGAGTAGACAGTACTAACTTAGCCTGTTCTTTTTCACTGCACTAGTTTTTCTTTCTTCTCAGCCATATACCTGTTTCTTTTCAACTTCTTTCTTCTCAGCCATATACCTGTTTCTTTTCAAGTTCCACAAATGTACACTGGTTCAATAAAAAAGAACAGACTTAGTAAGTAGCCTCGTAACCCAGTAGCCACTAATCAGAAGTAGCATTACATCAATGTTATAACCCCCAATATTGTAACTGTTACAACATATTATATAGCATTTATATTATTGAGAAAAAATAAAATTGATGTAACGTTACTGTTGGTTTTTGTTTACTGAAAAGTGTCTTTTTTTCTTTTTAGATTAATATTTATATAAGTTAATATTTTTCTGGAATAATTGTGCAGTTATAAATGATCAGGTTATTTTTATGTTAATAATTGTTTGTTAGTTTAATATCTATTATAAACATGTATTATCGATTATGTTATACATATAGTGCATATATTTTTATTTAACATTAGCACTTTATATACATATTATACGTACCTAATTAAAATTGAGCTCAATAAAAGTTGGTCTTGGTTCAATTCTCGAAAAAATCATGTGAATTAGTGAATCTAATTAATATTTTTGTAATACAATTCCCAGTAAATACAACTTTTTTTTCAACACACTTAGTCAATGTACAAAGTTATGCCCTAATAAAAGAAAATAGAGTATTTTTTATAAAATAAAAACTATAATACGCAATATCCACGCACTTACTAGAAAAGACTAACCTGATTGCCTTCTCAAATATAACGCGACATCTTACGGCGCTTAAGTAAAATAAAAGTCACACCTCTCTTATCGACTTCTGTTCGGTGTTGGTAAATGCTTAGTTGCGTTAATTATCCAAGAGGACAGTGCTGTCGCGGTTTCATGTTTCTAACGGGATTTTCACTTCCCCTTTTTGTTGGTTATTGCTCCAAGGGCGACAGTTGAATGGCGATGTTTGCTTGTGTTAGAGATTTTGTGGCGCCAATTACGCTACTTTCTTATTTCACGTAATTTATTTAACTATTTGCGAAAATGCCAGCATTTCTAAAGCATATTGAAGTCGACAACTTTAAGTCTTACAAAGGGAAACTTATTATTGGTCCGCTGAAATCTTTTACGGCGGTGGTCGGCCCCAATGGATCTGGTAGGTTATCATTCTGTGTATCAACAATAATAAGTAATATTAAAAGTTTTCAAAGATACAATTAAAAACTGAAAATGGAGTGATAACAACTTAAAATGCGAGTATAAATACGTGATATAGCAAAACAAAAGCGATGTATGCAGGAAAACTGCTTACGAAAACAAACGTTTCGATTTTAGTTCAGATTCTTCAGCATATAGATACATGAAATATTTAATGCAATACCATTGAAAAAAAATATTCATAACCACGATTTTGATGTCAAATTTAAGAACAGATGAAAGAACTCTTCATCAATAGCATTTTATATGCATCTATATACACTTATATCTGTACTCTTTAAGTTGTTGCTAACAACAATCTTTTGCACTAAAATATGTTGGTTTATTCTGCATTATCATGATGCTAATAGTTTGCATTTTATTCTACAGGAAAATCAAATTTTATGGATGCCATTAGTTTTGTTATGGGTGAGAAAACTAGCAGCTTACGAGTAAAGAGATTCAGCGAACTTATTCATGGTGCATCCATTGGAATGCCGGTGGCACGAAGGTATAATTTCTGCATATTATATAGTGATGTTAATTTAAATTACCTGGAATTACTATAATTTATATATAAATTTTTTGTTGATTATAGTGCTTCTGTAACAGCAGTATTTGAATTAGAAGATGGATCTGAGAAAAGCTTTATGCGTTCTGTACTAGGTTCTTCTTCAGAACATAGGATAAATAGTGATGTAAGTCTTGTAATTTTATTTCATTTTTTTCTTTTAAATATATATGCATAATTGAATGTTTACAAATATTTTTATCACTAAAGGTTGTCACCAGTCAAGTGTATCTGAATGAATTGGAGCAGCTTGGTATCAATGTAAAAGCAAAAAACTTCTTGGTATTTCAAGGTGCAGTGGAATCCATAGCTATGAAGAATCCTAAAGAACGTACTGCTCTCTTTGAAGAAATTAGTAATTCTGGTGCATTAAAGGCAGAATATGAAAGGTAAGTATTCATATAGCATTGACATTGAATCATATTCATTACTATATCTGTAAATTATAAAAATGACATTTCAGGTTGAGAACAGAAATGTTGAAAGCTGAAGAAGAAACTCAATTTTCCTATCAGAAGAAGAAAGGAATTGCTGCTGAGAGAAAAGAAGCAAAATTGGAAAAAGAAGAAGCTGAAAAGTATCAACGTCTTAAGGAAGAATATGTATGTTGATACATTTTGATATAATATTGAATATTTTATGTATTTAATAAGGAATTAGCTTTATGTACTGTGAATTATATTATGATAATGTATTCACATAATTGACCACAACTTTACCTGTTGATTACAGGTAGAAAAGCAAGTTGAGTTGCAATTGTTTCGATTGTTTCATAATGAGAAAAGTATTGAAAATTATGAGGTTTCTCAAAAGAAAAAACAGCATGAAATTGAGAAAGTCGAGAAAAGGAAAGAGAAAGCGGAGGAATTGTTGAAAGACAAGAAGAAGGATGCCAGTAAATTGGGCAGAGATCTTGCTAAGATAGAACAAGACATCAGAGAAGTGGAAGTGGAAATTACAAAAAAAAGACCGACATTTATCAAGGCCAAAGAACGAGTCGCACACATGCAGAAAAAAGTAGAAGCAGCGCGCAAATCCTTGGCTCAGGCGCGTGTTGCAGATGAGGCTCACAAGAAAGATATACATGAGCTGCAAGAGGAATTACGGCAGGTGGAGGAAGCTAAAGCAGCTTACGAAGCGAGTATAGCGGGACAGTCGCAGTTGCAAGGAAGAGATGTTCAATTGGAAGACGAACAGGTACGTAAACGCGATTTGTGCATTTAATTATTGTCAAAGTGTAATTTATAAGATTTGGTTATCGCTAATTAAACATATTTGATCTGATAAAATTACTTTAGGTGCGAGAATATAATCGTTTGAAAGAAGAAGCCGGCAAACAATCAGCCAGGTATCTTCAAATGCTCGACTCGATTAATCGTGAACAGAAGTCTGATCAAGATAGACTCGACAACGAGGGTAGGAAAAAGACTGAAATAGAGAATAAGCATAAACAGAAAGGCCATATGCGGGATGAGGCGCTCAAGCGAGTGGAGAAATTGGAGGAACACATAAGAACATCTGAAGCGGCACTGGAGGACCAGAAGAAACTCAGGGCTGATCTACAGTCTGACGTGGGCACGTCGAAGGATAAGGTTCAGAATTTGCAGAGGGAATTAGAAAGCATCTCGGAGCAACTGGGCGATGCCAAGGTTGACAAGCATGAAGTATCCAGGACGAAGAAGAAGACGGAAATCGTGGAGAATTTTAAGCGTTTATTCCCCGGTGTGGTATGTTGTCACATTTTTTAGTTCGTTTTCTCGAAATTAAGTCAAAATCAAGTTAATGATTTGCGTTTTTCCAGTATGATCGCATGTACAACATGTGCGAACCGATACACAAAAGATACAATGTTGCGATCACGAAAGTACTCGGCAAATATATGGAAGCAATCGTAGTGGATACTGAGAAGACAGCCAGACAATGTATCCAGTATCTGAAAGAACAATATCTGGAGCCGGAGACATTTCTTCCGCTCGATTACATACAAGCTAAGCCATTAAAAGAACGTCTTCGGTAAGTAAATGAGACATTTACATGTCATATCTTCGTTAATATTCGCTTCGCTAATATCTTTTCATTTTATATATTTTGTATTGTTTTTTTTCAGCAATATACAAGAACCTAAGAATGTGAAATTATTGTATGATGTATTACATTTCTCTCCTAAGGACATCGACAGAGCGGTGTTATTTGCTACTAACAATGCTCTGGTATGCGAGACACCGGAAGATGCGAATAAAGTAGCATACGAAATGGACAAAAAAGCTAGATACGATGTAAGTATACGTATGATCCTCGATTGAAGAAAAGGTTAATCATGCAAAACATATATTCAATGTTTTTGCAGTGCGTTGCGTTGGATGGTACATTCTATCAAAAAGCTGGTATAATATCTGGTGGCAGCTTGGATCTTGCAAAGAAGGCGAAAAGATGGGACGAGAAACAAATGTCACAATTAAAAGCGCAAAAGGTAATGTACAGAGTGTCCATTAATAATCGTACAATAAAACACACTCAAAAGTTACTTTGCATTATTCATTATTGTATTATATTATACAATTGTATTATCCATTTGGAAAAATATTTAAGAGACTTTAAAAAGTGTGATTTGTGTGCGAGTTTGCTCACGCAGGACACGCTTACTCGCACACAGAGGCCACATTTTTTTAAAAATGTCTCAAATAAATAATACGAAGTCATATCTTCATACTTTATTATATGATTATTAATCAACAGTATTTATCAAGACTTGCACATTTTAAATAGGTCAAATGTATATCGTTTGAATTTTATTTTATAGGAGAAATTAACAGAAGAACTGAGGGAATCTTTAAAAAAATCGCGCAAGGAATCTGAATTGAATACGGTCGAGTCCCAAATACGTGGTCTAGAGACTCGTTTAAAATACAACAAAAGCGATTTATCTGCGACAGTAAATATTATACGTTTGTATGTACGTTATCATTATCTGAATAATGTTGCAATAATGCGATTCTTTTTATAGCAAAAGCAAATTACGGATCTTGAAGTAGAGTTAGATAGTCTGCAAAATGACCTGAACATGTTTGGTGTAAGTTTTGAAATATTTCATATTTATATATACATATACATTTACTCATATTAGAGGTAAAGATCAATACATTTTTATTTATAGCCTGCGATAGCTGCTATTGAGAAAACTATGACTGAAAGAGATCAAGAGATTCAGAACATTAAAGAAAAGATGAACAACGTTGAGGATGATGTATTTGCCAGTTTTTGTGAACAGATAGGCGTTTCTAATATTCGTCAATATGAAGAAAGAGAGTTAAGGTAAGAGTACGGAAATGAAGTTAAATTATTAGATAATTGTTACATTGTCTTGAATTTAGCATCTCTATTTGAGTATATCATTCTAGATCGCAACAAGAGAGAGCAAAGAAGAGAATGGAGTTTGACAATCAATGCAACCGCATCTACAATCAATTAGATTTCGAAAAACAACGCGACACAGAAAGTATGTTGAACAAATACATACTTCATATTATTGGCCAAATTAGAAAACTTTGTAACTCAAATTATTGACAAAATTGAGATATTCATTTCGTTGGACTTGTCTCGATATTCTGCATCATTTGAAAAGTCTCCTATAAAATTAAAATTTTGTAATTTGGCTGATGATATTATAAACTCAAGTTATGGTATTAAAATTTTGATATTAATATTAAAAATGATATTAAAAGTTAGTAGTAAGAATTTAATATATTATATTATTAACTTTATATTATAAATCATACTTTGTCCTTATACTTTACAACGTATTTTTTTGGTTTGTTATTTTATCTATACTACATATTTTTATACAGAATTTAATATTATGTATGTGTGATGCAGGTAACGTTTTGCGGTGGGAACGAGCAGTTCAAGATGCAGAGGATAAGCTGGAGTCCGCAAGGCAAACCGAATCTAATCAAAAAGCTGAAATTGACCACGACGAGACGCAAATGGAGCAGTTAAAGTCTGCACGCAATGCTAAAAAAATGGAAGTCGATCAGAAAGAAGACGAGATTGGTAAAGCTAGACGTGAAGTGGGCACTATCGCGAAAGACATCCAGGCAGCTCAGAAGCAGCTTAACGCGATTGAAACGAAGATCGAGCAGAAGAAGGCCGAGCGGCATGCAATTTTGATGCAATGCAAGGTTCGTCTAGTCTTATATGTGTCTTATACGTGTTAAGTTTAATTATTATAAATGTGTATTAATATTTAGATGGAAGACATTGCGATTCCTATGTTGCATGGGAATATGGAAGATATAGCGGGTGAAACGAGTTCAGCGAATATCAATGACACAAATGACACGTCGTCAGTGAGTACACAGCAACAGTATGAACGCGAGAGCAGAATTACTATAGACTACGCGTTTCTACCCGAAAATTTAAAGGATGTGGACGAAGAAGATATCAAGAAGACAACCGATAAGCTAACGAAAATAATCAACGATCTGCAAAATACAATACAGCGTATTCAAGCTCCAAATATGAAGGTTTGCAACTCATATATTAAACGCGACATAATATACATTGATAAATACTGAAAAAAGTTTACAAATATGTAAATATTATTTTAGGCAATCCAAAAATTATATTTGGCGAAAGAAAAGTTACAAGAAACCAATGAAGAATTCGAGCAGTCACGTAAGAAGGCGAAGAAAGCGAAGACGCAATTCGAGAAAGTGAAGAAAGAACGACATGATAGATTCATGACATGTTTCGAACATGTGGCGAACGAAATCGACCCAATTTATAAGGTTTATAGATTAATACATTGTATAAAAGCATTTATATATTTTTATAGATAAATATTATATTATAGAATCTGATTGTGTGCATATCTTAGAGTCTAGACATTTTCTTAGATTTAAATGATTTATATTTAAATCATAAAACTTATTTTTTCCAATAAGCATAATTTATGTTAATATATTTAAATATATTTTGTTTTTATATATATTTTATGATTGTTTCAGAGTCTAGCGAAAAATCAGTCCGCTCAGGCATTCCTTGGACCAGAAAATCCGGAAGAACCATATTTAGACGGTATCAATTATAACTGCGTGGCTCCAGGCAAACGGTTTCAACCTATGTCCAACCTGTCCGGTGGAGAAAAGACTGTCGCTGCGTTAGCTTTGTTATTTGCGATTCACAGGTTAATATATATTGTATACAATCGAACGCATTAATATCAATCGGTTCACTCTTGATCATATATAAAAAATGTAACATATGATTGAACTTTTGTTCTTTCATTAAGTAATTGAAGTATCAGTAAGATTTGAAGAGGCAAATAAGGAGCAAACACGGATGTCTTAGTGCTTAAATACTAATATTACTTTTATATAATATTAATATGATAGTGGGAGGATAATTATGTCCAGCATGTCAAACGCACGTATCGAAATTTTTTTTCGATTAACGTACGCGGCGAATCTACCTTTCATACTTAGACCGATCCTTGAGTCCCAATTTTATATATATATATATTTAAAATTCTCAAAACCCATTAAACCGTTGACTCAAATAGATTCATTATATATGTTGCGAAAAAACTGCCTCCGCCAGGACCCGAACCTGGAACCTCCCTACTTTCCGGGCGGGAAACATTTTTTCGCAACATATATAATGAATCTATTTGAGTCATCGGTTTAATGGTTTTGGGAATTTTAAATATATATATATAAAATTGGGACTCAAGGACCGGTCTAAGTATGAAAGGTAGATTCGCCGCGTACATTAATTGAAGAAAAATTTCGATACGTGCGTTTGACATGCTGGACATAATTATCCTCCCATTATCATATTAAGATTATATAAAAGTAATATTAGTATTTAATAACACTAAGACATCCGTGCTTGCTCCTTATTTGCCTCTTCAAATCTTACTGTTAGTTAGTCTAAAAAGGAGCTTTCTATAATTTCTGTTTAATTGAAGTATGTTATTAATTACGTAAATTAGATTCTTAAATATCGCAGAAGAATCTGATAACTGAGCGTATATCGAACAATATTATTACACCCAGATACACGAAGTATAATTGGAATATTACAAATAATTAACTCGCTGCTTTCATTTTTTCAGTTTTCAGCCTGCACCGTTCTTCGTCTTGGATGAAATTGATGCGGCTCTCGATAACACAAACATAGGAAAAGTTGCGAGCTACATCCGTGACAAGACGAGTTCGCTGCAAACAATTGTGATATCGTTGAAAGAGGAATTTTATTCGCATGCTGATGCGCTTATTGGAATCTGCCCGGACGTAAGTAAATTATTCCATTTTAAATCTTATTATTATGTCGCGTTCCGTGCCTTATGTCTTATGTAAATTTCAGGTGGGCGAGTGTTTGGAGAGCAAAGTGTTAACGCTCGACTTAACTACATATCCTACGCATATTAACTCGTAAAAGTTTATTATTTACAATGATTTCTAATTTTCTTTTTTTTTTTACATTATTGCAAAGCATTATTTTTTAATTGCCTTTTGAAGAAAAGGTAAAAGATTGTGCGTTAATGATTAAAATATTAATATATTATATATATATATATATATATATATATATATATATATATATATATATA